GTTCCCCTATATTCCTGTTATAAGTGAAACCATCTGATATTTTTCTTTTTCCTTCTGGCTTATTTCACTGAGCATAATTCCTTCTAGCTCCATCCACATTGCTGCGAATGGCATGAGTTTATCTTTCTTGACTGCTGAATAATATTCCATTGCATATATTTGCCACATCTTCTTGATCCAGTCATCTATTTTTGAGCATTTGGGTTGTTTCCAGTTTTTATCTATTGTAAGCGGTGCTGCAATAAACATATGTGTACAGGTGTTCTTTTGAATCAATGTTTTTGTGTCCTTTGGGTAGATCCCTAGCAGTGGAATTGCCAGGTTGTATGGTAGCTCCATTTTTAGCAGGATGAGGAATCTTCAAAATCAGCACTTTTAATTCAAAAAGAAAATTTAACTGTGAGACAGGTACATAAGAGGTCAACACTATCTTCAAATTGTTAAAAATGGCTGGTCTGCAAGTGAGGCTTTGAACTGTAATCATTCACATAGCAGCAAGAGCAAAAGCAGATTAATTAACCTTACCCTGAACTGGGATTTTATTTAAAGTTTCATAACTGCTGTGTGTTATATGTGTGTATGTGTGTGGGTATGTATGTGTAAAAGAATATAGCAAAAGAGAAAGTTCAGAAGATATACGTACCTTGAAAATGGAGAGGTAACTAAGACAGCATTTCATCTTGCAGATAGGTTAAACTTTCAGGGGTATGGCGTTGTTACATTAATGACATTATTTCCTTAGGTATCTGTCAACTTACATTTCTAATTACAACCTATCTATTTACTTGATAAAATCCATGCAAGGGCTTATGCCAATAATAAAGATCACATCTAATAACACTTTCCTTAACCTGAAACCTACTGATACTGAAACCTGACACATTTTCCAAATGCAAAAGGCATAAACTGGCCATTTTTGCAAAGCTTTAAACTTTCATCTGAGTGATGGTAACTTGCATACCAGCTTCAACAGGTTTTCTTCATCTCCATCCACTTCTAAAAACACCCCAAACTCACTCCTCATTGAGTCTGACAAATTTAACTTAAGGAACTCACTTAATTCCAGGTTCTTAGTTTAAATATCACCTTTTCAGCAAAGTTTTGTATTAGTCCTGCCTGTCAACACCCTTATCCCCACTAGGTTAAAACTTAATATTTAGCTTACATAACTGCAAAGTATTATTGCTACATTTATTATTGTAAATAGAAAGTGAAAGTTCATAAAGAATAATTTACCTTCCAAAATTCACTTTACTAATAAATAGGAAAATGAGAATTAAGAGACAAATATCTGAGTACAATGCCTATGAACTTTTCTGTTTTATTCTACTTTGTGATCTTGATTCACTGTGAGATTTTTCATTATTGCTGATAGTACCTTCCTCTTCCCCTTGATTCTTTGTTAACTATTCACTATTTCATTTAGCCTATATTATTCTTTTTTTCCATTGGCTACCAATTGTTTTAATTTTTCCTTTTTCTGTGAGTCTTAGAAGCTTCCCCAGTGTTATAAATCTCCGAAGTTAAAAAGATTGATGTGTGACTGCTAATTTTTTTTAATTTAGTGTACATTTTAGAAAAATTGTAGCATTAACATCTCTCAAAAACTTTAATGAAAGCAATGTATGCAGCACTAGCATAGCACTTTGCATAGCTGTGTAGTCTATAAAATAGACTATGCATGCTGAAATATTAGTACAAAACAGTCTAACAATAAATGGGAAAATTAACATCATTTGGTGACTTTTAAAGAATTATTGTCATGACATTAAAAACTTATCAGTGAGGAAATTTTTAAGAAAATGAAAACAATGGAAAAACCAGTATTTATTTAGTACACTGTAATTTAAAACATAAATATTGAACATAAAGCTGTCTTATTTGTATAAAATGCATCAGTAGTAGTTTGAACAGGGCTTACCTTATTCTCATTTTTAAATGATATAGAATAAGCATCTTTTCTATGCTTAGGCTAATTGTCATAATCCTTTCTGAGTCTGAATCAGTTTATAACTGTATTAGGATTTTTTTTTTTTATTGTTGCTTATCTATTTACCACAAATGATCTGTTTAAAACAGTCTCCATTTATGGGCCTCCCCTGGGGGCGCAGCGGTTGAGCGCTGGGCTGCGAGGCTGCCTGCAGCCTCTGCAGTGCCAGTTCGTTCCCTGGCTGCCGGCGAGGGTCCCACAAAAAGCAAAAAACAACAACAACAACAAAAAAAACACAGTCTCCATTTATTTATTATCTGAGTTTTTCAGGTGAAAATCAGGCATGCTTGGCTGTCTGGATACTTAGGGTCTCACAGACTAAAGAAAATGATCTGTACTGTTGTTTGGTGGCGTTGATGAAGAATCAGATCAAGTTCAGAATGCATGCAGAATTCAATTCCTGTGCTAGATAACTAAATAAATATTTGTTATATCCTAAATAACTATTTTCTTGCTAACTCTCAGCGCAAGGGCATTCTCAGCTCTAAGATGTACCTACATTCTTTCTCCCATGGTCCCCAACATCTTCAAAGTCAGTAATGGCCCATAGAATTCTTTCCACACTTCAAATTTCTCTGGAGTCTTCAACTATCAGAAGGAGAAAACTGTTTTCAAAGTGCTCACCTAATGAGTCAAGCTTAGCCAAGTAATTTTTTAAACCATAATGAGTAGCATAAATTGGTTTGTTTTCAGTTTGTATTTGTTTTCAGTTTATTTCTCCAAATCTTTTTTCGCATTTTGATTTCTTCTTCTACAAATGAGGTGTTCTTTTACTTTGTTCATTGGTCAATTATTTTGTTAAGCTTTTATCAATCTTGAGAACAGCAACACTGCTACCAGCATGTTTTGGGGTTTTATCGTGTGTTATTAGTGTGATAATGCAGTTTTCCTTTTACTAGACTTCAATATATCAATCTTTTCTTTGTGTTTGCTTTTTTTATTGTACTTAAGAAATTATCCCTTGCCTACAATTATAAACATATTATGTATTTCCAATAATGGTTTGATGTTTTATTTTTCTACAATGTCTTCAATCCTCGTGGGAATCAATTTTTGTGTCTTGAGTATAGTTTTACTATTTATAGATGACCTATTCCAGTTTATAATTTACTGAATATAATCTCAATTTAGTCAAACATCAGGATGTATGAGATTTTCTAATATGAGCTCTCCGAATAGTTCATTCCATTCTATTTCTGCAGCAAACCCACACTGTGTAAGACATTTGTCAAGATCTTTTCTATTCTTACTTCTTGCTTTTCATATAAATCTTTAGTTTGTGAAGTTTTGTGAAAATGTCTATTAAGATTTTGATTTATGATTATTTACAATTCATGTCTTTGGAGGGATACTGAGGAGATTCTATTCTCCATTTAATTGGGTTCTCACCTATCATAAGAAAATTTTTATAATTTTCTCTGTAAAATCTTTTGCATGTTATAATTCATGAAGCCATTGCAATTTGCGTTGCATTAATTATGCTACATTTAGAAATTTTTTTTTATTTTGATTTTGGACACTGATCTCATATCCAGCAACTTCAATGCATTTTATCATTACTTCCAGTGTTATGTTCAGAGATCCTATAAAACTATGCACTTTGTTATCATCTGAGGATGAGAATTTTTCTTCTTCCATTACTTAGTTACCATTCATCAGTAAGCATGACAATAAATTTTTGACAGGTTATCTTTTATTGACATATTAAAGATTTTTCACCTCCTTTTCTCTATAGTTAAAATTAAAAGAATAGTACTGGATTTCATAGAACAATTTTTCTGTATCTACTGACATTTTCAAATGGTTTTCCCTTAATGGTGATGTGATTTTCTGAGTCAAATTCTTACTTTCCTTGAATTAACCTGAGTTGCTGAAAATCAACATTTTTGATATCTCAAAGGAGTTGGTTAACATTTTCATTTTTCCCCCATCATTTAGTCTGTTCATTTATTTATTTATTTTTTTTGCTGTGTTTGTAAAGTTCCTAGCGTCTAGAGGTTTTGTGTGTGTGTTGGGATAGAGATGAACTATTGTTTATTATGTCCTATTATCTACTCAAGTGATTCCTTGAGTCACTTTTGATGAGTTGTATTTTAATGTATTTTCCATTGCTTCATTCCCTTAACATTTTCAGTATTGTCACCATCTTTTTAAAAAATTAACCTTCCCATTTATTAGACTAAAAATTCTATTGTCTTAACACTGGCATAGCGCCAGCATTTTACTTTTTTTATACTGCTTCTCTATTTGTCTTTGAATTGTAAGCAGTTCACTATTTTCCCGAAGATGACTGAATAGTTCCTTTTTTAAGCTCACCTATTTCCAAAGAGACTGGAGTTATATATGGGGGAAAAAACAAAACCTAAGGATTTATAGGCTTTTCTTCAGTAACTTTTTGACTAATGCATCATTCATACCAAAGGCTTTCCTACAAAGAATTATAGGTACCTTTTGAAGTATGAATGAAAAAGGCTTGCACTCTCACCGTGAAATAAAACTTCCAAAGTCTCATGTTAAAAGTTATCTGTAGCTGACCTAAAAAACCAGCAATTCACTAACCATGAAAATTAAAGAATGTAAAAAAATGCTTAATAAAGTATAAACGTGAGTTTTCCACATCGATATATTCTCATTTTATAAAACTTAAAAAAAGTATAAGAATACTTTAATGTACCTCAGATAGGTCCTAATGGAAGAAAATGTAAGTAAACAGGGTGTGCAAAGAAAGGTTCTTGAATTCTATCTACTTGAGTATACTTCAGTTTCTACTATGTATGCTTGTCAATATTGAGTAACCATCTTTTAGTTTTCTCACCTGCTATATGCTATAGTTAAAGTATCTAGGGAGTTAATTATAAGTAGCTAAAAGATATGCAATACTTTTTTTTTCACTTAAAGATTGTTAGAAAACATGAAAATAAAAGTCCTGTCATCGAGTAGATTTAATAAAGCATTAAAAATCTTGCAAATATCTCATTTCAGAAAACTAGATATATTACTTCTATCAAAACATACAGTATGGGTTCTGAAAACATTTGTTGTAGCTACATTTGAATGTTAAGTGATTTAATACCATGTTACATTATCTATGATTCCTAATCTATCCTACTGAGTTTTTCCTCTGGGCCTGTTTCTATGATTTTTATTCTTCTAAATGCTAGTTCCAATTTAGGACTTTTTTAATGAACTAGAATATTTAGCAAGCAAGTGACTTTGACCAATACCAAGGAGCAATATGCACAATTTCCAGAGGAATTTATATAACTCTGAACTGGGAATTGGAAGATAGAAAAATTACACAATCGATCTAAAAACAAATCTGAAGAGTTGGGGTATAAATATTGGGGAAAAATGACCTTTAAAAAGGTAATCATTTTCTGCTTTGAATCATGTGTCTTTTGAGAGCAAGGATGTTAGCTTAAAATGTATTAAGATACTTTGAGTCCCCAATTAAAACTACCTTTTACTAAGACTTTCAGTGACAGATTTTATTTTACCTCTTTTCTACCTCAAACGGAAAAGGGAAGACTGCATTTTAGTTTGTTTCTTTCACTGGTTGTTAAAACTAAATTTGCAGGACTAGACTGAGAATCAATATTGGGCAGAGTTCATCGCCTAGTTTGATAAAATTTCCGCTCAGGAGAAAGAGACTAAGGCACGATGTTTACTTTACCATGCTGACACCTCAAAATCGTTTACAATTTTAAGAGATGAACATACTGAGTCCAAATAAAGTCATTTTTTAAAATTTTGTTTATTATTACTGTTTACCAATGGGGAGATGCAGTTTATTTACACCAGCAGCCAGAAGGGCAAGGGGACTACACAGTTAGTTAGCAATCTGTATAGGATGGACTACTTATGCAAAAATAAGAATCTCCAAAACAAAGGATAGTGGTAAGCTTCACTACACTCCCCCAATGATCCCAGCATGCGGTAATGCCAGGCAATGGCCCCTGGGCATGCGGTGGTGGGAACTAATGTATGGAAGAAAAAGCCACAAACCACAGAAGAAATTTGTAAAGAACCCCTCCCCCCCATACATACACACACATACACACACACTCACACGCACACTCACACTCTCAAATACGTAATAGAATTACAGGGTGATCAATACACTTAGTTGAGGCGGGAAGGATAGCAATTCTGCGGTTAGAGGGAAGAGGCAGGGAAAGGGAGAATTCCTAACCAGTCAACTATATGGTAGGGAGCATTCTCTCTCCCCCAAAGAAGTTACTTTGTCCCTCAGGGCACCTGCTGGACCTAGACCTCCTCATACCCATCCAGGGCATGGGGCTACTTCCCTCATAATGGGAGGAGAGGGGTCAAGAAACAAACAAAACCAAGAGGGAGGTAATGTGAATCAACCATTCCTCAAAACTACTTCCTACTTCTTCCTCTAACCAGGAAAAAAGGCCTGAAAGGAAATAGCAATGTCACGATCTGAACACCCTCTCTGCAGAAAAGTGGACTATGGTCTTTCCTTCAGCCTGTTTTCTGGATGTTATTTGGAAGTAGGACAGAATCTCACTTAAGACTCTTCTCCCTCTGCATCCCCTTAATAGGAGGTATTTGCAAAAATTCAGATAGAGAACTCAAAATTATTTTAGCTGTTGCCCAAGTCTGACTTTTTAAAACGTTATCACAATCCTTGAAGATCAATCTGTGACTAGGCCCCAACCCTGAGCAGGACTTCGCTAGGGGGAGAATGCAGTAATAGTCAGTCTTGAGGGTCTATCACTATAATTAATTTAACTTTCTAGGGTATGTAACCCAACTCAATCCATACCGTCCAAATAGCTCCTTCTGTGATAAGGAAGGATACATGCACAGCAAGGGTTTCAGAAAATGGATCAGGACCAACTTCATCCCTGTGTGTGTGTTAAGTTAGCCTTTACTGCTCTTCTGTCGAGATCCTAAGAGGCATTTACAGAATGGAGGTGGGAAGATGTAACTCCTCATGATTTAAGACACAGCAGGAAGGCATACTAGCAAGGCAGTCCTATAGGAGAAATGCTTAGGCTTGACACTGCCTTTCATATACAAAAAATTACATTCTCTCGCCATTCTAATCCCAATAGAGGGAGCCATAAGAAAGATTCTTTTCTGAGTCTCCCACAAAAGCAAGAGGAAATAAAAAAAACTAAATTCAAGGAAAGGAAACCAGGCAGGCTTCTGAAGCAGGAACAACACCGAGAGAGGAACTGAAACTGGTCAATTTGAAAAGAGGGTGTCAGGCAGCACCTGGGGTCTTGAGCTGCACCAGATAGAAAGTGGAGCCAGGGACAGGAGGAACATGGGGCCAAGCCAGACAGATGAGGCTGGACCCCTTATGGGGCACAGAATGAGGTAAGAAAACATTTCAAATAAAGCAGCACCATTCCCGCTCACCTTGGGACTCCCACCCGTCTACACTTCATAAGCCCTCAATCAGGGAGTAAAGTAGAGGGTAGTTTTGATATGTGGCTCACACTTCCCATCCACCCCCACGCCATTTCCTAAAGCCAGGGGATTTCTGGAGGCCCTTTCCTGACTTCCAGCAACAAAAGGGTGGCTCTTGTTGTTAAGAAGATTTAAAAGGGGCCAAGTAGAAAGGGCTGCCCCTTGTGAGAGGCAGAGAAGGTGACTGTTTAGATGTTCACCATAGCAGAGTTCTGTGACGGTCCAACTCAAAGAACAGAGGCAGTCACCAGGATACTGCAGTCAGATGAGCGCAGATCCAGCCTTCCTCTTCCTTGGCTCCTAGAACTAACCCATTCACATTATTGAGGGCAGCTGGGAGAGGTTCCCTCTGGGCTCAGCTTTCAAACCACAGCCTACTGCAACAGCCATGATGCTCTTCTGTAGTTACTCCTGCCCTGTGTTGGAGGCAGGCAGTCATCTGCATTATGACCAAGCTAGACAACTCCTAACTCAAAGTAGGAAAATGACTGCCCCACCCAACTGTTGTACACAGAATAATATATCCAGATAAGAATCTTGCATTTAGGGATGATGCATAGCTGCAGAGGCCCTTGCTACCTCCCCAAGGGATCATGACTAAATCAACCTGTTAGAATAACCAAGTTGTCCAACTGTCAAGCTTATGCCAATGAGTGGGATGTACAAAAGAGGGCTCTGTTCAGCAAAAGGCTTGCCCTTGTCCCCAAGTCTGCTTAAGTCATTGCTATATGCTGGACATTTGCAAAACTGGTGGCATTGTCCTTTTCTTCTCGTTGGAGGCCAAGACCACACAGCTTCCCCTGCCAAATTCAGGTAGAAATTCTTTCTTGGTTTTCTCAAACTGGAACTGTTAATATCCAGCTCTCATACCTTGTCTTCATTTGTCTTGAAGAAGACCACACTGGAGACCCGGAAATCAGAGGCAGTCCCACTGAGGCCCAAAGATGAAGGCCTCACCAGTTAACATCTGAACTGTCAGTTATCCAGGAAGCCCTTGACATCAGGCAGACGGAAAGACTGAGGGCCCAGAGAATTTCATACGCTGAGCACACAACTACTCTCCTGTGCACTGGGGTCAGTACAGGGATCTTGTACACATCCTGGCGTTTAAAGATCAACCCGCCCTGCATGGTGCGTGCAGGATGAACAGTAGCTCCTCTCCTGCCCAGGGTTTCAAAGCTGACCCCCTCAGGTAACACACTTAGAAAAGAATCCGAACTCCTAAATTCTCCACTCTGGGTTTTCTAAGGCTAGGATCTTCAATGGGAATTGGGACTTTTGTCTGAAAAAAAAAAAAAAAAATTTTTTTTTTTTTTCCTTCTACTTCGCTACCTAACTTCTCCAAACCACAGGACCGGTCTATGTCATTGTCCTGGTCGCTCTCAGACTCTCAAGGGGCAGCTACTGGAACTCCGGAGGAGAGCGTTGCAGCTGCTGATCAGGCCCGTTCCCCGACTCTCCAGGCAGGGAGCAGAGCGGGAGGCGGCACGCGCCTTTATCTTCCACCGGCTGAATGCCAAAATCCTTCACGTTCCCAGTCTCTGCGAACTCCAGGTAGAAGTAGCCACACTTGACTGCCCGGTGCACCTCAAAGCAGAAGCCCAAACAAGAATCCTCTATCAGATCTACGTATATCTCCTGCGCGATGGCCTCCAGCTTGTTAGTATCCAGGTTGGCCAACGAAATTTCCTCCATTTTAATGCGTAAATGACTGTGGAGAGGACGCTCGTTTTACTCACAGCAGAACCGGCAGCAGCGCGTCGGGCTCCGCGGGCCGCGCCTAGGCCTAGAGGCCTCTCAGGGCCGCGTCCTCCGGCGGCGGGGGCGGGAGGGGGGGTCCGCGGCGGCACAGGCGGCGGTGACGGAGGCCGGCGGCGACGGCTCCGGAACCCCAAGTCGTTCGTTTCCTTTGGAGGCTCCGGGAGGAGGGCTGGGCGCTCGGGCTGGCCCCGGACTCACCGCCGAACCGTCTCCGCGCCTCACCCAGCAGCCGGGGCCTCTTCCGCTCGCCGGTCCGGGCGTCGCCCCGCCTCCCCGCTTCCGGTCCCCAGTGCGCCTGCGCACGGGCGGCGCGCAGACTCGTCGCGCAGATTCGTCGCGCTGCTCCCAGAGCGCTGCAACCGGGAAGCCCGGGCGCTTTGGGCGGCAGGTGTGGGAATGACAGGCAGCAAGGGGCTGACTGTTAGAAACTGACTGTGGAAAGCATGCGAGGATGCTATTTTATTGTTATTTGTGTTTTTAGATGTAAGCATTCGCTACGAGTGGAGCACCCTGGCTTAGTCTTATTTCCTTATGGAAAAGGGAAAAGTTAATTACGTGCATTTTTGGGGTATGATTAAAAAAAATACAGTGTTAGGAGCAGTTCTCTGTTCAAACACATTAGAAAATTTGACTTATAGAATTGAGTTATAATCTTTTTTTGGTACCGTCGTAGTTATTTAATTCCGCTAGGTGGTGCAAGGAAACAAATTACAGTGTAGCTGATCTTTCTGAATGAAAAACTAGGCACTAACAGCGTAATTCATATATATTGAGCTCATGAATTTAAGACGTTTGTTTCATTTATCAAACTATTAAGTCAGTGTGACTGAAATATAATTAAATCTCTAAAATAATTTAAAAGGAATGTATAAATACATTGTCTATTGAAGAGGGAGGAAATTTGAATATGTTAAATATACTAGGAGATAAAGTAAGCTTTGCTTAAAATTGTGTCGCATGAATTGTGAGAACCAGAGCAATCTACCCGGGCTTAAATTCGAAATCCAGTGCTTAACTGTTCTGCATTTCCTCTTCTGAATGAAACTACTCCCTGTTTCATGGTTAAGATTATATTTAAAAATTCGTCTTCTTAAATAAAAAAAAATCGTCTTAAAATATCTGTGCCTTACAAGTTGACAGGAATTCAGTAAATGTTAGCTACTTTAATCATAATTAGTTATGGACTTGAATATAACAAAAAACATTGAAGCATTTTCTTCAATTTTTGCTAGATTTTGATTCCTAACAACCACCGCTGAAATAAACAGTTCTTTTATCAAAAATTAACTGTAACCAAAGAAAAAAATTAAAAATAGATATTTGTGTCTCATGCTATCAATTTGTTTCCAGAATTGAGGAAACATATCCTTACAATAAGGATACAAATAAGACTTCTCATACATATGATCATCAAAACTCTCTAGTTTTAGATTCCATTCTTATATCTTACTCTTTGAGTAGATGGTTAAGTATCAGTTGAACGTATTAACCCGTTTAAAACTTCTGATTGTGTGTTTTACCATTTTAAGAACTACAAGTTGGCAGATTTGGAGGATTTTGAAAGCTGAGGCTATTTAACATTTAATACATGATAAAATTTTTATTTTAATCTGGAGCAGATTTTCTGCTTTGCAGCTTTTGTTTATCTTATATGTTCTCTATTCAAAAATTGGCCACCTATTTTGATATAAGTTGAAATCTGCAGATAACCTATACTAAGTCATAAAATACAGTAATTAAGTGCTCAAGTTCTTGAAACAGATTACTTCCCACTTGTTACTGCTGTCTGACTTTGTGCTATCTACTCAACTTCAATAGATCTCAGTTTTCTCACTATAAAATTTCAGTAACGTTCTCATCGCATAGTTTTGTGCAATTTAAACATGACAGTGCAGGGCCTCCCCGGTGGCGCAGCGGTTGAGTGCTGGGTTGCGAAGCTGCCCGAGGCCTCTGCGGCGCCGGTTCGATCCCCGGCTGCTCCCAGGCCACCGGAGGAGGGTCCCACATGGCGCACAGGCCTCTCCTGCCGCCCGCTGCTCCCCTCAGCAGTGGACTTCGGTCCTTCTGCCTGCTCTGCTCCCCGCTCTGGCTCTGGTGAATTCTCTCACCCTCCCGCGCTTCTGACTGTACCCGGTGCTTGTATAAACAAACAAACAAGCAAATAAATAAATAAATAAAACATGCCTCTATAGAAAAAAAAAAATTAAAAAAAATAAAATAAACATGACAGTGCATACAAAAGTCTTCACAAGATGTCTGACAAATTGTATATTTTATTGTAGTGTATGCTGCCTTGTAGCATGTCTCCTTATGTGGAATCATATAAATGTAAATACAATCTTTTGCATGTAATTCCTTCTCTCCCATGCTTCTCCAAATTTAAAGTAAAGCAATGCTTATCAGACTTTTATGTGTATATGAAACATTCAGAAATACTTCAAAAGTTTAGATTAAGTCTGGACTAGGGCCTAGATTTCTGCACTTCTAGTGTAGTTGATGCCAATTCAAGTACACACTGAGTTGCAAGGAATTAAAAGGACTTCATAGTAAACAGCTGTTCTTCATAGTGATTGGCTCCCATACAATTTGTTCTGGCCAAATTATTATGAGAACCTTTCTGTACTTGATTTTCTTAGAAGAGAATAAGATTGTTTCTCCCCCTCTTAAATTACCTATATATTGTCAGAGTTGGAACTCAAACTGTCACTTTATGTAATGAAGAGGAGTGATCTGTAGAATTTACTTCAAAATATGTGCAAGCAGACCACAAATTAACATGCCAAAAATCAAGGCCATGGCTAGGTTTAGATGTCTGACAGTATTTTATCACATTTACTCTTAGAAAAGGAACACTATCGGGGCCTCCCCTGTGGCGCTGGTTGAGAGCTGGGTTGCGAAGCTGCCCTCAGCCTCTGCAGCGCCAGGTCGATCCCCGGCTGCTCCCCGGCCACCAGAGGAGGGTCCCACATGGTGCGCAGACTCCTCCTGCCGCCCGCTGCTCCCCTCAGCAGTGTGCTTTGGTCCTTCTGCCTGTTCTGCTCCCCGCTCTGGCTCTGGTGAATTCTTTCACCCTCCCGCACTTCTGACTGTACCCAGTGCTTGTATAAATACATAAATAAATAAATCTAAAAAAAAAAAAAAGGAACACTATCATGATATCAAAAATTTGCACTGGTCACCACTGACATCTTGTCACCTCTTCTACAAGTAATATTTAACTAGATTGCTTTATTAAAATGCACTGTTTCTCTTTATGTTAAATCAATGGCATGTCACAAACAGAAGTTAGAACTCCTTAGTTCCATTACAATTAATATAAAAAATTGAAGGTTTTTTGGTCTTTGGTATAATACTAATGTAAAAATCCAAAATATTTATATTATCTAAATAATTTTCTCAATACAAAGCAAGTAACAGGTATTTTTAATAGATTAGTGAAAGGATATGTGCATTATATATCCTTAAAACATTTAGTTCACAAATAAGTAAAATGAATGGATTATGACATTTTAATTATGCTTTCTTTCATTATTTTCTTCTCATTCAATAAGTATAATATATGTACTGGGAGAATCAGCTCTTTCAGAGGATCATGTTTTAATTGTTTTCTAAGAGTTTTCATTAAAGACTGAAATTCCAAAAAACAGACATCTGTAAGGCTCATACTTTTTCTGTATTCACATAAAATATTTAAAGACATTAATTTTCCATAATTAAATCTTTAATTATGGTAAAAATTTATCACAGCAGATCAGGATGCTGCATTAATCTTGCTTGAAAATGAAGGAGATACTGAAGAAAGCTCTTCTACTACAGAAAGGTTCTTTTAGACATATCAGACACCTTCTGAAACTTCTAATACTTCAGTTTTAAATGTCTTTAATGAGAGTAATACTGATTTTTTTTCTTCCCCCTGCTAACCCAAGTACTTCAGGAGATCTTGATCCAACTAACTCTAATTTTGTCAAGCACAGCACTTTTTGGAAATATGATCTCCAAGGTTAATGAGGAGTTTCTATTATGATATACAAACTCTTGTTTTGGCTTTTCCTTATTAGTAAAACAAGACTTTTGGTTGATAGTACACATTGGACTCTACCAAAGACAAAGGGCATTTGAACCCACTGAGAACTGTTCATGGCATTTTTTTTTTTTTTATTTAACAAGTCTAATAGGAAAAAAGGAAACTAAAACAATGTCTACTTTTCTGTTAAAGAAACTAAAGCCATAAATGTTAAATACAAATTAAAACTAGGTATCAGGACTTTTGTCCCTTAAATTTATTTTTATAGAATGATATATTCAATATCTACTTTTTAATTGCGAAGTCATCATTAACAACTACTTCCTATAATTCTTGTCATAAAAACATTCTAGAATAAACATTAATATATAATATGAATCATATTGTCAATGCAGCATTTGCCAGTCGCCAGACATAAAATATAGCTTGAATACTCAATGTAGCCACAACTGCTTCCATAATTGTGTAAACTGATGTTTCACACAATATTTTCTCTACTTTTCTTAATGCTAGAACTTCAAAAGGAGCATTTTCCAGATTAATAGACCTTGTATTCCACAAAAGGAACATAAATTTAATTGAGAAATGTATTTTCAGAAGATTACAAATCAAATTTTCATCTAAAATTCCTTACTATTTAAAAGTAGTACTATTTTAGAACTTTTTCTCAGAATAAATTTTAAATTAGTCCAAAATTGTTTCTATCTTTTCTTTTTCTTTCCATAGTTCTTAGCTCTCAAGTTATAAGGAAGTTTTCACATAATTAATTGAACAATACTTTTTTCTAATTTGACTAATGTCCATTAGGTTTGTTTTTGTTTGTCTTCTCTCATCAAGAGCTGTCTCATATTTTCTTAAGTCAAGCTGTTAAACTGGTGGGTGGGATGCTTTTACTTCTTGTGTTTCACAGACAGGCATCTGGCAATTGCCACCAAGTGAGAGATTAATTTTCTTGCGAAAATCTTGGTAATTGTAAAATTAAGAGCAAACTTAGGTACTAACATGAGGGTATCTCAGATCCCTCATAGATTTATTTATAGTGATTCTGATTTTTCTTTTTGGAATTAGCCTCCCATCATATTATTTCTTTATTTCCTTCAATATCTGACCATGCTCTTTGCTTTTCAGTTCTCAAAGAAATTTCAGACACTTGATTTGTTTCCATTCTCAGATCATGGATTTCCTTTCAAACTAACATTTTTATATTTCCATAAACATC